TCCCTTCTTCCTTCCTTTCCTCTCTCTGCTTCCCTACCTCCTCCTTCCCTCCCTCCCTGCTTCCCTTCTTCCTTCCTTTCCTCTCTCCCTGCTTCCTTTCTTCCTTCCTTCCCTCCCTCTCTGCTTCCTCCCTTCCTGGTTTCCTTCTCCTTTCTCCCTTCCTTCCCTCCCTCCCTGCTTCCCTTCTTCCTTCCTTTCCGCCCTCTGCCTCCTTCCTCCTTCCTTTCCTCCCTCCCTGCTTCCTTCTTTCCTTCCTTTCCTCCATTCCTGCTTCCTTTCCTCCTTCCTTCCCTCCCTCTCTGCTTCCCGCAAAAACGCATCCCAAATGCTAAAATAAAGTAAAAATAAAGTTCCTACCATTGTCTAGCACAGCTGATCATCAGAACTTTTTTTTACTTTGTTAAGCATTTTTTTATTTTTTTTTCTTTGCCCGAACCGGTAGCATTTCACCCCTAGGTCAGCCCTAACTAAGCCGAATGTTGTAACCCCGTGTGAGGTTTCCAATCATTTTTCCAAGCTGGTTTGTGTAATTAATGGAGCATTCCTTCCGTGTCATTGACCTGCCAACTGAGCCATCGCAGGAGAGTGACTACGCAACGGGACAATTGTGAGTTTCCCCCCCACATACTCGTTTGAACCTCGAAAGCCATTCAGACAAGCACAGCTAGTTCAGTTAATTCTGGAGTAATATGTGCATTGCAATCCTTGCTTTTTAAGAGTGCAGCTCCTGTTTGTTCTCTCTTGGACCATGGATGGATTGCGACCAAGGCAACTCTTTATGACAGCCAAGAAGAACTTGATAAGTGACAGTAATAGAACTGGACAATCCTGATTCATTTCTTTAAAGGGAAACAAACTGTCCCATATGCCTGGTTTTGCTGCCTTTGAAATGAGCACAAGAGACATCAAAGGTTGCGATCCCAACAGGATCTACTTGGAAGCTGGGCGACCATCCCTAGAGTGATCTTTTCTCCATCTTCTCCCAAAAGGTAAATGTTCCCCTTGCACATCTGTGCTAGTCGTTCCAACTCTAAGGGGCGGTGCTCATCTTTGTTTCAAAGCCGAAGAGCCAGCACTGTCCGAAAACATCTCCATGGTCATGTGGCCAGCATGACTCAACACCAAAGGCACACGGAACGCTGTTCCCTTCCCACCAAATATGGTTCCTATTGTTTCTACTTGCATTTTTTACTTGCTTTCGAACTGCTAGGTTGTCAGAAGCTGGCACAAGTAATGGGAGCTCACTCTGTTAGGCAGCGCTAGGGATTCGAACCGCCAAACTGCCGACCTTTCTGATCGACAAGCTCAGCGTCTTAGCCACTGGGCCCCTGCGTCCCCCATCTTCTCCCAAACACTTAGCTTAATTTTGTTCCCTAATTTCTAGTTTCTTGCCTGGACATGTTACCTTCCTTCTCTTGTCATCTTTTAGGATATTTTTGCAAAAAGCAAAGAAAGGGGATTTTTTTCCCACCACAGTCACACTTTCCTCTGTTTCTTAGGCTGTTTCTCAAATGGAAGCAAGCTTCTCGCAAAAGAAGAATGACTCACACGGAGCAGCTAGGGAACGTCCCGATTTCCTGAGCGTCTTTCAACTTCTCCCTTTTTAAGGACAACCTCCAAGAAAGAAGGAAAGTACCCGAAAAAGGGAGAAATATTTGTAGTTCATGGTTGAAATGGAGGACCCTTGGTGCTCTCTGAGGTTGGTTGTTTTCTTGCAGATGATTCAATACCCAACAAAGTAACACCATCAGTGTGATGAGTCAGTTCAGCAAGAAGGGAAGCAGGTCAACCCAACAGTGCAACCCGTGGATCGAGATAGGGAGTGAACTTGGCCAAGGGATGCGTAATTCATCTCCCAAGTTCACACTACGGAGTTCTTATTTCTCCATTTCATGCTAACCCCGATCCAGATAGAAACAGGGATACCATAGTTTACCCAACAATCAACACATGTCTAGTTGCCACCTTCTCACCTCTTTCCTTGCATTCCCCTTTTGGCTCATCTTTGTCAACAGCTCTCGTTCAAAAGAGGACACACTCTCTTCCAAAGACAATAGACCCACAACTAGCGTGGATCGAAAGTTTGCCAGTGAAAACAGAACTGCTTCATTCCTTCCCCAGTGCTGAAGAATTGATTCTTCTCCAGTTGGAAATAAAAACAAGAAAAATGGGACATCATGGGGTCTCCCTCCCTCCTTCCCTCCCTCTCTCTCTCTTTGTCTCTGTCTCTCTGTTCCTCTCCCTCTCTGTCTTTCTCTCTGTGTGTCTCTCTCTCTTCTGTGTTTCTGTCTCTCCCCCTCTCTCTCCCCCTCTCTCTGTCTCTCTCTCTGTCTCGCTCTGTCTTTCCCTCCCTCTGTCTCCCTCTGTCTCTGCTTTTGTCTCTCTCTTTGTCTGTCTCTCTGTGTCTGTTTCTCCCTCTGTCTCTTTGTCTCTCTCTGTCTTTCTCTGTCTCTCTCCCTCACTCCGTCTCTCTCCCTCTCTCTCTGTCACTCTCTCTGTGTGTTTCTGTCTCTCTCTGTCTCTGTCTCTCTCTGTCTGTCTCTGTGTCTCTCTTTCCCTCTCCCTCTGTCTCTCCCTCTGTCTCTCTCTGTCTCTCCCTCCTTCTCTGTCTGTCTCTCTTTGTCTCTGTCTCTCTCTCCCCCGCTCTCCCTCTCTCTGTCTCTCTTTTTGTCTTTGTCTGTCTTTGCCTCTCTGTCTTTCCCTCTCTTCTGTGTTTCTGTCTCTCCCCCCTCTCTCTCTGTCTCTGTGTTTCTCCCTCTCTGTCTCTCTCTCCCTGTTTCTGTCTCTCCCCCTGCTCTCCCTGTCTCTGTCTCTCTTTCTCTCTGTCTCTTTCTGCCCCTCTGTCTCTATCTCCCTTTCTGCCTCTCCTCCCCTCTCCCTGTCTCTGTCTCTCTCTTTGTCTCTGTCTCTCCCTCTCTCTGTCTCTTTCTCTCCTTCTCTCTGTCTCTCTCTGCCTCTCTCTCTCCCCCCCTCTGTTTTTGTCTCTCTGTCTCCCCTCCTCTCTGTGTCTCTCTGTGTCTCTCTCTCTCTTTCTCCCTCTCGCTCTCCCTGTGTCTATGTGTGTGAGAGTGTGAAGACCAGTGTGACCTTTGATTTAGAGAGGCAACACAATGTCCCAGCATCCAATGACACAGATCAGCTTTGTGCCAGCTGGGGCCAGGAACAGAAGTATACTTGGCCATGCAACACAACTATTACTAATGGGAAGACAGGCTCCCCTGTTGGGAAAGTAACCGCAGCAAAAGCAGCCGAGGAATTTTTCTTTTGAAAAACAATCAGTTATGCCACAGATACTTTATCATCCCGTCGATGTGCTGATCGGCCACATTCTTTGCCTTGTGGTTTAGCAACCCATTCTAACCAGTCCAGAGAAAACGTACAGTGTTTTCTGTATTTGGATCTGTCGGAAAGGTTTCCCGAAAAGGCTGCAGTGTTGATCTGAGCTTTTGTGGGTCATATTCCTTTTAGGCAATCATTTGGGATGATAGTACCGCTTGACACCGCACTAGTGAGGTCATACATGGAACTCTGCATCCGATTCTGGACCTCGTGATACAAAGGAAAAGGCGTTGAGACTCTAGAAAGAGTGCAGAGTAGAAAAATTACGATGATGAAGGGTATGGAGGATATATTGCATGAGGAACATTTAAGGCATATCTAGAAGAACAGAGAACAGAGAATAATAGAGTTGGAAGGGACCTTGGAGGTTTTCTAGCCCACTCCATCAAGAGATCCTATAGCCGTGATGGCGAACCTATGGCATGCCTGCCACAGGTGCCACACGGAGCCATATTTGCTGGTACGCCAGCCTTCAGCTCCGACGTGCATGAGTGTGCCAGCTATCTGATTTTGGGCTTTCCGGAGGGCTGGGGGATGCCAGTTTTGCCCTCCCCAGGCTTCAGGAAAGCCTCTAGAGCCTGGGAAGGGTGAAAAACAACCCCAACGGGCCAACCAGAAGTTCAGAAACGATCCATTTCCAGCTTCTGGAGGGCCTCCCGGGGTGTGTGTGTGTGTGTTTCAAAAGCCTCCAGAGCCTGCGGAGGTGTCATGTGCACATGCATGAGAGAGGGGGTCACACATCTATGTGCAGGTGTGTGTGGGGGAGTAGGATTGAATTAGTGTGGGCAAACATGTGCACCCCATAGCGTGCACACAGACCATTTTGGCACGCCATAAGAAAAGGATTAGAAAATGTGGCTAAATAGGACAGCATAGAGCTGGGGCGGGCCTGAACTGGTCTGAACGGGTCTGAATTACCACCTCTGGCTGACATTCAGGGGTGGGTTCCTGCCAGTTCTAACCTCTTCTATAGAAGAGGTTCCACAAATCTACAGGGCTGTTTAGAACCGGTTCCAGCTCCCTCCCCCCGCCCATCCGCCCATCATCAAGATGAAGAGCGAGAGGAGGAATTCTGGGAGTTGAAGTCCTCAAGTCTTAAAGCTGTCAAATTTGAACACCCCTGGGTTTTTTTTTTCTAAAGGGCTAGGGGTGCAAGGGTCTTGTAACTTGACAGCTTTAAGACTTGCGTGCTTCAAATGCCAAAGTTTCTGAGCCAACATGACTGGAGGAGGAATTCTGGCAGTTGAAATCCACAAGTCTTAAAGGTGTCAAGTTTGAACACCCCTGGGGTTATTTTCTAAACAAGTCTTAAAGCTGTGTGTGTGTGTTTTTCTGGCATTTTTAGCTTTCTCCTCATTTTCTTTCTTCATCTTTTCATTCCCCCCCCCCTTTTATATTACTTTGTATTCATTTTTAATCTTCTTTTTAAAAAACTTTCATAAAATTATACCGAGGGGGGAAAAAATCAATGCTCCATTCGGAACACCAATTGCATGTGCCCGCTTCCACTAGATTTTAAATCCTACATATCACACCATCTGAATCCATCAGAATAGCTAACGTCTCCCGATGTGCACATTATTGCGATTCCAGGAAGCTCAACTTCACAACGATGAGCTCTGCGAAAGAAAATATTAAAGGGAGAGGCAGCAAAAATCCTTTTTTATTTTTGCACTACAGTATGCTACAACTCAAGTGGCCCTGATGTAAAATAAAGATTCCCCTTGCACGTATGTGCTAGTCGTTCCTGACTCTAGGGGGCGGTGCTCATCTCCATTTCTAAGCCAAAGAGCCAGTGCTGTCTGAAGATGTCTCCATGGTCATGTGGCTGGCATGACTGTAGGGGAGAAAGAGGTTGCAAATTTATTTTTAAGCAGAAGCAACTAATTAAATCATTCTTCCCCATTTCTTGATTCTGGCTAAGACTTGAACTAGCAAGATAGGAAGCTTCATTTTTCCGATTAGCCAAATATAATTATTCTAGCAAAATAAAGCCAGATTTTTATTTAGAATGTCATAAGGTAAAGGTAAAGGTTCCCTTCACATATATGTGCTAGTTATTCCCGACTCTAGGGGGCGGTGCTCATCTCTGTTTCAAAGCCAAAGAGCCAGCGCTGTCCAAAGACGTCTCCGTGTTCATGTAGCCAGTATGACTAAAAGCTGAAGGTGCACAGAAAGCTGTTAGTTCCTCCCGAAGATGGTTCCTATTTTTCTACTTGCATTTTTTAAATGTGCTTTCGAACTGCTAGGTTGCCAGAAACTGGGACAAGTAACGGGAGCTCACTCCATTATGCAGTGCTAAGGATTCGAACCGCTGAACTGCCAACCTTTCTGATCGACAAGCTCAACATCTTAGCCACTGAACACAACACAAAAAATCATGGGCTGCCCCCTGACCTCATTGGACGAAATCGCCAGGAAACGCTGCCTTAGAAGAGTGAGGAAAATCCTGGGATGAAATCCAGCATGTTCTGGCAGGTTCTGGAGAACCAGTAGCGGAAATTTTGAGTAGTTCCAAGAACCGGGAGGACTTCACAATTCGTTTAATAAAAGGAGTTTTATCAGGACCAGGAATCTGCTTCATGCTTTTGGGGGAAGCCTAGGTCAGAACACTTCCTTCCTTCCTTCCTTCCTTCCTTCCTTCCTTCCTTCCTTCCTTCCCTATCTGTCTCTCCCTCCCTCCCAGTAAGGGAGAGTACAAGTGAAAGAGAGCAATTTGTTATTGAGTGGAACTTCCCAAGTGCCAGCAAGAGCCAGAGGTTGTGCTTCTGCATCCTTCTCCAGACAACTAAACGTGGTCACCAGACGAAAGGAAAATGCCAACAGGGAACATGGTTCAAATTCCCAACATTGTTGAAGCATTGAGATATGGAAGGGTGTCCACATCTGGCTCACTCATTACATCTCTCCATTGAAATAAATGCTGGGAGATGTTGTGAGTACATGTTATGGATCAGTCTCCAGCTGACGCATCTGAACTGTTTTTGGGTGTTTCATCCATATTCCTTTATTTAAAACATAAAATAATACATTGGAAGGGACCTTGGAGGTCATGTGGTCCAGCTCCCTGTTTAAGCAAGAGATTCTATACGATTTCAGATAAATGGTTGTCCAGTCTACTTTTGAAAACCTCCTGTGATGGAGCTCCCACAACTTCTGAAGGCAACATCTGTTCCATTGGTTGGTTGCTCTCAATGTTAGGAATTTTCTGTTTAGTTCTAGGTTGCTTCACTCTTTGGTTAGTTTCCATCTGTTGTTTCTTGTCTTGCCTTTTGGTGCTTTGGAAAATAGTTTGAACACACCCCCCCTCCAATTGTCTTTGTAGGATCCCCTCAAATATTGGAACACTGCTATTATGTCTTTTCATTAGACTAGACATACCCAGGGGTATCCAGTCTATATCTATATCCAGTCTAATGAACAGGGATCTCCAAACCCGGATACTTTAGGACTTGTGGACTTCAACTCCCAGAATTCCCCAGCCAGCAACTTTTAAATCCACAAGTCTTAAACTTGCAAGTTTGGAGATCCCTGAATCATAGAATGATTTAGAACATTCTATGCATCTAAAAAAAATGTCTTTCACTGATTCATCCCACACAGTAAGAATATATCTGCTGAATATAACTCCGCACTGGCAACAGGAAGAGCATCTGGCCAGTAAATATCAAGCTCCATTCAGTGGCCTAGACTCCACCCCACAATGAATTAAGGGGTCGTTAAAAGATGATGATGATTGATTGATTGATTGATTGATTGATTGATTGATTCAGCCCACGGATCTTTTAGCCCAATTTTGCCAACAATGTATTGACAACATCAGTTTTCGAGGAAGCCTCTCGAACTCCCTTGGTGGATTGTTGGAGGATTGAATCCAAAATTCTGTATGGGAAGATATGGGCTATTGCCCTGCTCTCATAATTCGTCTAGTGCCCTCTGAATAGCATTGTGAACTTCTTTTCTTAAAAGATGAATAATAAGCAGGTAAGACGCACTGATGCATTAATGTGCAGTGAAGCTTGAAGTGAAGACGTGAATTCCATTATTGGCTATATATTAAATGTAGTACAACAGAGTACACTGAACTCGTGGGTTTCTGCAGAGCCAAGCTCACGCTGAAAGCACCAAAGATGCCGTTTTTCTCAGCCATTCAGTTTAAAAGCTTTCCCACTTTCAGGGAATCTTCCTAGGGGAAGCATTGTGTGCTTGTACTTCTTTGGTGAGGCAGTGATCTTGAGACGGGGCTGAACATTGAAGTGGTCTACAGCCTGCCCGGCAGGTCACATGGACTTCTTAAAGCCCAAGAGGAGACATCAAGGGAGAACCTACCTGTCAGGGTTCCAAGTAACACCCCTAGTGTGTTAGGTGGTTAGGATTTTGATTTTAACCCCCTGTGTTGGTCTCGTTACAGGATATGACCTTCTGATGAAGGGGGGTGGCCTGTCAGGTCTGGAAACCATCTTTTGCATTGGGCCTTCCACATTCAATGCTGTGGGAAAATGGGAGGGGGGATTATATGGAGTATGGGAGATATATAGTCTAAATAACATTCCTTTCTCAGAGAGTCAAGGACACCTTGCCCTGCAGCTGCGATGGTGTGACTGGGAGGTAGCTCCAGGTTTGGATGGTACTGATTGGATCATGTGATGGACATGTGGGTGCTGGGCAAGGACTTTCACTTGGGTGGGGAAAACCTGGAAGCTTTCAGATTCGGGTTTTTCCAGATGTGCCAATATGACATTTCTAATAAAAGGGAACTTTGAGGAACTTCTAGGCTTGGATTCTTCTTTTGTTGGAGGTCTTACTTGGGACCCCAACACAACCAAATAGACCTTGTTCTGATTGTGAGATGTAAGTCACCAGGGACGCTGATAAAAGTTGTGAGGGCTCAGCAACAAAACACCAGCCAATGCTCTAAAGTACCCCGAAGAGAAATGGGGTAGAAATCCAAGGATTCAAATCTAAGGGGTTAAAAGGAGTCCCTGTCCAAGGGAAAGAAACCTTTTGAGCAAACACACAGCAATCCCTCAAAGACAAAGAGGCAAGGAAGGGGATCTTCCATTGGAAAAACTCTACCAGATTTTGATACTTGTTCCAACTTTCTCCAAATTACTTGCCCTCTTAGCTTTGGTTGTTATTCACAGACACCTAAATTTCCATCTGAATATGTCTGTTTGTGCATCCTGGTATATATACATGCACAGTTCTACTTACACAATCACACCGTAAATTCAAACCAATCTGCATCAAGACAGAAGGATGCAGCAGAGTCAGGGAAGGGAGGGAGAGAGGAAATAATACAGCTATACAGAGGAAGGGAGGAAAGAAGGAAGAGAGGAAAGAAGGAAGAGAGGAAAGAAGGAAGGAAATAATATAGCTGTAAAGAGGAAGAAAAGAAGGGAGGGGGAGGGAGGAAGGAAGGAAGGAAGGGATAGAGGGAGGGAGAGAAGAAAAATATATACAGAAGATAGAAGGGAGGGAGGGAGGGAGTAAAGGAAATAAAATAGCTGTACAGAGGAAAGAAGGAAAGAAAGAAGGAGGGAAGAGACCAGTGTTGAAATTCATTTTTTTTTACTACCGGTTCTGTGGGTGTGGCTTGGTGGGCATGGCAGGGGAATGATACTGCAAAATCCCCATTCCCTCCCCACTTCTGGGGCCATCCAGAAGTGGTATTTGCCGGTTCTCCAAACTACTCAAAATTTCCGCTACCAGTTCTCCAGAACCTGTCAGAACCTGTCAGAACCTGCTGAATTTCACCCCTGGAAGGGACAGCGGGAGAGAGGGAGGGAGTAATTAATATAGGTATTCAGAGAAAGGAAGGAGGGAGGGAGGAAGGAAGGAAGGAAGGAAGGAAGGAAGGAAGGAAGGAAGGAAGGACGGAAGGAAGGAAGGAAGGAAGGAAAATTCCAGTTTTAGGCAGGGGAGAAAGAAGATCCTCTTTTCTTGCAATAGATTAAGTTACTGAGTTGATTTAAAGACATGATTTAAAAATTGCACAGCACTCAGGGAAAGGGGGAAAAAATCTTTCATGCTCACAATGGGATTAAGACACGAACAATCTCCAACAATTGCACTCTCTGCAGTTTCTACTTAATGGAGACAGAGACTCAGCTGACACCGACTGCGAGGTCTTTTCATGAGCCCCTCCATCCTTTCTCTCCTCCATTTTCAGCTGATCCAAGGCAACTCCCCCTCCTCCCCAAAAAAACCTCCTAACCACTAGGTCAGACGACCCAGGGCCAGAATCAAAGGATGCCCGAACTCTGCAGCCTGCTCTCCGTAACCAACCGTTTGTCCCTGCATTTAATAAGCCGTATCTGATAAATATCAATGAACCGTTGACGTGTTTGCAGGGTTGCTAAGGAGACACTCGGCTCCTCCATTTGCTCACTGGGCTGCAAAATAAACACTGCATCTAGGAGGGGCCCTGTTGCTGAATTGGTCAGTGGAGGAAGGTGTGTGTACCCAGGGTTGGTCTCCATATGGAGAATGGAGAATAGAAGACAATAGAGTTGGAAGGGTTCTTGGAGATCTTCTATTCTAACCTCTTGCCTACAGCAGGAGATCCTATATCATTTCAGACAAATGGCTGTCCAATCTCTCTTTGAAAATCTCCAGTGATTAGAATGGAATGGAATAGAATAGGATGCAGAATGGAATGGAGTGGAGTAGAGTTGAATAGGCAAGGAATGGAATGGAATGGAATAGAGTAGGGTAGGGTGGAATGGAACAGAACAGAATGGAACGGAACAGAAAAAGGAGAGAAAGGATAGAATAGAGTAGAATAGCAGAGGTGGAAGGGACCTTGGATGTCATCTGGACCAACCCCCTGCTTAGGCAGGAAACCCTATACCATTTTAATGGTTATCCAATCACTTCTTAAAAACCTCCAATGATGGAGCATCCACAACTTCTGGAGACAAACTGTTCCACTGGTTCATTGTTCTGTTAGGAAATTTCTCCTTAGTTCTAGGTTGGAGCTCTCCTTCTATCCATTACTTCTTGTCCTACCGTCACGTGCTTTGGAGAATAGGTTGGCTCCTTCTTCTTTGTGACATTCCCCCAATATTGGAAGATTACTATCAGAACCACGATGGTGCAGTGGTTAGAAAGCAGCATGGCAGCAGTTCAATCCTGACTCAGCCTTCCATCCTTCTGAGGTGGGTAAAATGAGGAGCCAGATTGTTGGGGAAAATAGGCTGACTCTGTAAACCACTTAGAGAGGGCTGTAAAAGCACTGTGAAGCAGTATATGTCTAAGTACTATTGCTATTCTTGAAAAATATCCATCCATCCATCCATCTGTGATGCACAGTGGTTAGAATGCAATATCGCAGGCTGACTCTGCCAATTGCCAGCAGTTCAATCCTGACTGGCTCAAGGTTAACTCAGCCTTCCATCCTTCCGAGGTGGGTAAAATGAGGACCCAAATTGTTTGAGGGCAATATGCTGACTCTGTAAACCGCTTAGAAAAGGCTGTAAAGCTCTGTGAAATGATATATAAGTCTAAGTGCTACTGCTATCTATCTGTCTGTCTGTCTGTCTGTCTGTCTGTCTGTCTGTCTGTCTGACTGAATGACTGACTGACTATCTCTATATTTATCTATGAGCCATGGTGGTGCAGTGGTTACGAATGCAGTATTGCAAGTTGACTCTTCCTACAGTCTGGAATTCGATCCTGACCAGCTGAAAGTTGATTCGGCCTTCCATCCTTCCAAGGTGGGTCAAATGAGGACCCAGATTGTTGGGGGCAAATAAGCTGACTCAGTAAACCACTTAGGAAGGGCTGTAAAAGCACCATGAAACAGAATGTAAGTCTAAGTGATAAGTGCTATTGCTATGAACAACTGCTGCAAAAAAGGGTCATAAAATTGGGTCCAGTGACTCACTTTATGACTATCACACCTGTAATGGGCAGGCTCTATTACAATTACAAGTTCATGAACCAAAATGCCCAGTTTGGTCCCAATATATTAGACTTGCAGACTTTTAATAGCATCCTGATCGCCATTTAAAGATTAAGGAAGCATTACCAAACATAGCTAGGATGATCCAGGATTTGCCTTTGCAATCCACCAAAAACACAAAAATGCTGCATTTATCCCATAGCTAAATTAACACAATAATAAAAGAGTTGGAAGGGACCTTGGAGGTCTTCTGGTCCAACCCCTGCTCAAACAGGAGACCCAATACCATTTCTGACAGATGGCTGTCCAGTCTCGTCTTAAAAGCCTCCAGCACCTACAATTTCTGAAGCTGTTCCACTGGTTAATTGTTCTCACTGTTAGGAAGTTTCTCCTTAGTTCTAAGTGGCTTCTCTCCTTCATTAGTTTCCATCCATTGCTTCTTGTTCTACCCTCAGGTGCTTTGGAGAATAGCTTGACTCCCTCTTCTTTGTGGCAATCTCTGAGATATTGGAATACTGCTATCATGTCTCCCCTAGTCCTTCTTTTCACTAGACTAGTGAAATTTTGCAACTGTTCTTCATATGTTTTAGCCTCTAGTCCCCTAATCATCTTTGGTGCTCTTCTCTGCATTTAGGACAGGTTAAAGAATGACTAGACTTCCAGAGGCTTTCTTGATCAAATCAATTTTTTTTAAAAAAATTCACAATCCAAAGAATGATGAAAAATAGCCCACCCCAAGAAATGTCAATCTTTTCCCTCTTTCAGCATATTTCATCTTTAGTTAGACAAAGCATAGTTATTGCCGGCATTGATCAACTATTATTGGATTTATGCGCCTTTAGGAGATCAGTCACAACTGGGCCAGAGGAGATGGGCGAATCGGGAAGTTTCAGCTTCTCATTTTGCTAATATCTCAAGTCTCATTCTTTTTTGAAAAAGAGAATTATTTTACAAAAATAGCATTGCTGTTTCTCCCAGCCTGTGCATTTTACTCTGCAATTTCTTCCTCCAAATGTATACCACCGTAGCTGCAAAGAGATTTTCCTTAACAGAATGCATTTTGCTGCAGTATTTTCAAGAATGGAAATATTTTTTCCCTTAATATGCTTTCTTATTGCCTGCACGCCATATTGCAAAACACAAACAAAGACATAAAATGGATGAATTTCATGTAATAACTTCTTGGATCGTATCTCACTGCAGAAATGGAGTGTTAGATAAGTTGGCATTGAAATATGAAGGAAATGAATTTTTGCCAAGTCCCTTTTTTAAACATTCAGTTATATTCCTGAGATTAAACTTCAGCTCTTTATGCTCAGAAACAACATGCAGTAAAGACTTAATTATGTCAAGCCCTTTGCTGTTCAGCCTTGATTTGGTGGTCTGACTAAAAACCCAAATTTTAGCCTCTCTTTTTTCTAATGTTGTAAGTCTCATTTCTTTCATTTCATTTTTTTTTTTTAGAAAAAGTTCCAGTAACATTGGCTGGTTTGTCCATGAATATGCATTTCATTCTGCAAGTTCTCAACTTGCAAAAGTTCATTTAGTGACCGTTTGAAATTACTACGGCACTGAAAAAAGTGACTTTTTTTACACTTACGACCATTGCAATCCCACGGTCCCATGATCAAAATTCAAGACACTTGGCAACTGACTCATATTTATGACGGGTTGCTGTGTCCCGGGGTCATTTCCTCACCTTGTGCAATCTTCTGACAACAAAGTCAAAGGGGAAGTCAGATTCACTTAACAACCGTGTGACTAACTTAACAACTGCAGTGATTCACTTAACAACTGTGGCAAGAAAAATCTTCAAATGAGGCAAACCTCATGTAACCACAGAAACGTTCTGCTCAATTGTAATCGTTAAGTCAAAGACTATGTCAAGATTTCCCCTAATATAATGCATTTTTAACCATTTTTAATGTTAAACCATTGACAGCAGGGATGTGCTAGGTCCTAAAGGTAAAAGTAAAGGTTCCCCTCGGAAGAAGGTTAGGAAAAGGCAAGATGGTGGCTGCAGCTAATTGATGTCCTCCAATTAGTTGTTCTCTTGCCTTCACCCAAAATAGATTTTTTTAAAAAAAAGGTGTGGCTTCAAGTCCTTAGCCACCCTCTTCATTATTTTACACATACACTTAGACATACACACACACACCCCAATCCCTGAGGGGAAGTGCTTTAGCATGCTATGTGAAGAGAGACTTGGCTTTAAAACATGGCTGGCTTAGCACAATGTGGGGGCCATGATTACCACCTGCCAAAGATTCTTCCTGTCAACTGCAGTTGTTTGTGTTCTAATAGCCAATTTCGATCCCAGGAGGGGCAAATCTGTCACCAGGCTACAGAGATGATTACCAAGTAGGGTAATAAAATGTCTACAAGAAAACAACCCAAGTTCAAAGAGCACCGAGGACTCCCCTATAAGGAGATGAGGGAAACAATTTCAACAAGAGAAACGTCGTAGATTGACGGAAAGAACCTTGGCGGACGTCTAGTTAAGTGTCCCTCAACCTTGGCCACTTAAAGATGTGGGCCAAAATTCAGCTTGGACTTCAGAATTCCCCCTCTGGCTGGGGAATTCTAGGAAGTGAAGTCCACATATTCTGGGAGCCGAAACACACAATGTCACACTTTTACATTGGGCCTTCACAGGCCTCCTATTTTTGCACAGTAGAAAATGTGGCAGGGAGGGAGGCACAGAGAGAAGGAGAAGGAGAGAGAGAGGAGAGGGAGACGGGGAGAGACAGGAGAGGGTGAGAGAGGAGAGGGAGACGGGGAGAGACAGGAGAGGG